CCTGCAGGAGCCCCCCCCCCCCCCAAGTCACAGGTCTATCTCAGTCCCCACCCCAGCTGGTAAGCGCCTGCCCCTGTCTTTGCAGTCTCATAAACTACATTTTGTGACTACTTCTATGGAGACCTTTATGGGAAATACAACTGTTGCAAGAAATGTTGGTAATGCTTCAGGAGGTGGCACTTTGTGTGCGTTTAAAGCCAACACTTCACCATAGTGATGCAGGGCACAACAGTGCTGGTGATGCAATCTTCTGAATGGGATATAAAAGCTACTCTTAAAAGCTGTTGTTATTAAAGATCTGACGAGACAAGTTCTGCTGTCATAACTTTCCATTTCTTTTTTATTTGGGAAAAACTCTTTTTTTCTTTTCTTCAACTTCCCTACCCAGCTCCAAAAAAAACCCAACAAAACCCTGTATAGAACTGTGACATGAGAAAAGCTGCCATGTTCTTCTGACAAGTTATTTTACTATAGTGACATGTGAGTATTGCTATCTACCATGCATAGGCTTTGCTTTTACAAACACTTAACTATGCATGTGAATAGTTCCACTGACTACACTAAGGCCCTGTGTCCTTTCAGGACTGGTATGTCATAAATATAGAATCTTAAGCTTTAAAGGAACTTCAAGGATCCAACCCTCTGTACAAATGCAGAATTTGCTATTCCTCTAGAATCCCAGATAGATATCTATCCAGCTTTTTCTTGAAAAATCTCCATTATAAGAGATTCCACAATGCCCCTATAAAAGTTTGTTTCAGTGTCCTGCTGTCCTTACAGTTAGGAAGTTTTTTTTCCTGACAAAAACACTATATAGCACCAACATGATGAAAAGTACAATATGAAATGTGAGGTACTTTTCTATGTTCCATAACAGAGGTATAAAAATGGATTGGCAACATTTTTGTTTTTTCATAACTGTTTAGTATTCAAGCAACTTTGTCTTAATACTTCATATTGTCTCAGCTGTAAGTACATAAGGTCATAATCAGCTTGCTTTTAGACACAAGAGGATTTACATCACTATGAAAGTTCTTTACTTTA